GAGCCAGGAGTAAAGCACTCATCTCCCGAGGCTCTCGGCTGAACTGACCGAGCTCCAGGGTGAAAAGGCAGCACAGGGAGGTGCAGCACAGCAGCAAAGCAAGCCAGCAGCACCCGGGGCTTGTGAGCAGGAGCACAGCCAGGGGAAGGGCTGACCCCTTGCCCAGCACATTCACACCATGCCTGCCCAGTGACAGCAGGGCTGTGGCACTCAGGAACCACTGCCCTGGTGGGTCCCTGAGGGGGCAATCCTCCAGCTGTCCTTCAAGTGCCGGTGGGATTTCCTTAAGAATATCAGTGTCTGCACCAACAAAACCAACAGCAGAAGCGTGGCCCTGCCCAAGCAGAAGTGTCTGCAGCAGAGCAATCTGCACAGTCTGCAGCCGCCCCTCTGGGCAAGGCCCGTGGAATCGCTGTTGGCAATACTCAGCAGTGACACCCCCTCCTCACAAGGCTTCCCGGGCAGTGACCATCCCTGGGCTGGGCACTGCTGAGGGCCTCAAGGGCTGTGTCCAGTTCTGCCAGAGAACTGAGTGGGAAAAGTTCCCTGGGCCATGCTGGGGCCTTCACTGGCCTTGCTGAGGTTTGAAGGAGCCCTGCTGCCCTCCAGGGCCCCCAGGGCTTTCAGTGTCTTTGCCTCATCAAGGCCCAGCTGTGCTGCAGAGCAGGGGGATCAGTCAAGAAGGGTTGGAGGGACACCACAAAGTTAATATTTCATAGAATTCCCATTCAAAGGTCATTGTCCATTCCCGCCCACAGTCTACAGACATTAATCCAGTTCCTAATTCATTCCTACAAAGAAAAAAATTGACAATTCTGCCCTTACTTATTTATTTAATGTTATTTTTGTCTGATAGCAAAAATTGTTGCTGTGACTCTTGCTACACATTGTGTGAGAAGAGTAAAAAGTAAGTAGCATGTTGATTAGGCACAGCCTGGATGCCATGAACACATTATGGAAAATTGTTTGTTTCTTTGATCTTGGCTGATCAGAAAAATTTTTAGTCTGAATATATAATAGATAATTATTTCATGGAGTGAGTAGAACTTAATAATATAAAATATAAATATTAAAACAGTAGCTCACCTTAGCAGCTCAGAAAAAGCATAATGAGATTTCACCACCACTCATACAATCCTTCTGGACTGAACTCCAATACTGGTATTAATGTTGTATTAATGTTGTATTAGACTTGTTATATATGCTTTAGCCAATTTGATTTAATAAGGAGAATTTATTCCATAATTAAAATACAATCTTAAAAAGGTCACAAGCAAAGATTAGATTGATGCTGAACTACGCTAACAGCGTCGGGTGAGACAGGTTGGTGCACTTTGGCTTCTCTCCCCTGTACATCAGAAAGAGACAGCTCTTACAAAGTCTTTTTATACATTTCTAAGCTCTAAGAGTTGTTGGGAGGGTTTCTTGCTTTCTTATAGTTGATCTTATTCTTTTAGCATATTCATGTAGTTTTTCTTTTCTTCTTGTTGCTCTTGCTGAGAGTTTCCTGAAACTGGTAAATAATTCACTTTAGACGAAAATCTCCTGCAGTATGCATTCTAGGAGACACATATTTATTTTATCGATGATGCATATCGAATGCATATTGCTGGGGTTTGGTAAGACGAATAAGCCTCTGGAATCAACATTTCTGGAGATGAATATTCAGGCTAGGATTTTCGTGCATATCGCTGTAATCTTACGAGAGGGAATTTCCTGGAATTCTCTTTTGGTATGCTAGGATTTTTATCAGGTGAGTTTACTGTAGTCTCAGCACAAATTTATACATATCATCTATTACAGACTCAACTCATAATTCAAAATTTCTAATTTATTTGGCTTCTGTTGGTAGACCAGACTCTTTTGGTCTCTGGGCAACAGAGACATCACTAACAATGCAGAAGAGAGAGTTTGTTGGTTTTTGAGTTTTTTCCTTTCTCCTCTCTCCCTGCCCCCCTCATTTTCTTTTTCATTCTCCTCCCCTCTTCTGTCTTTCCTCCTTCATTTTCTTTTCCCCCCTCAAAGCTTCAATTTTGGCTCAGGATTGCAGAACTGGCCGTGCCTAAAATAATTCTCATGTCTAAAGCAGTTGTCAGGGCTCCTTCTAAATATGAGAGAGAGACAGAGAGAACAATGTGTCTCTGACTGTGAGAAGTGGGGTGACCCATCCCTGGAAGCACAACCATCTTCCCATGAGTGGTGATCTGAGGTAATGTCTGTGTTCATCAGTTATCAATGGCAGAGGCACATCCAGGACAGCTCCATGTGCACATCACCTACTCATTGTTACTGTTTGCGAAGCCATCACACTATTGCTCTGCTTTCAGGAGGAAACCCCTCAAACTCTGTGTTTTATGCCATTTATATGCTTTCCCTCCTTTCAGACCAGAGCAAAACAGGAAAAGGTAGTGGGAGGAAATAGAGCAGGATTCAATGGTGGGAAAGCACCCCTGGCATCTCCTGTCTGACCTTCAGTTAGACCCGTGGGACAGCCATGGGCCCTGGGGCTGTGACTTCTCTTGGGTCCCTGCCAGCATTTCTCTATTTCTAATCCTCAGTGGAGCTCTTTTCCTCACCTGGGTCTATCCTCCCCTTGAACACCAGGAAAGCTTTGTGGACATGCAGCAGCTTTTGGCAAGGGATTCCTGAATTCAGTCCAGGTCCTCCTCCTTCTCTGGAACATGGCCCTGGGCAAAGAAAACAGAAAGTCACAAGGAGCAGACAGCCCAGGGAAATGGAGTGCAAGAAGGAGAGGGAGAGCAGAGCACGGCAGCAAGCTGTGCCCTGAGCAGAGGTTCCCTCACTCCTGAGCAGTCCCTGTTTCTGCCTTCACCTTGTCATTGCTGCTCTGATGGATATGGTCAGAAGGGACAGGTGGCTTTGTTGGAAGGGGCAGCAGGGCCCTGCTTTCTGCAGCCAGCTGTGCAGAAGAGGATATTTAGGAAACTCCCCAGTCTGACCCTTCCCGAGGCTCTCTGGCCATCACACTCCAGCCACCAGAGATGTTCAGTGCTCCTCCACAGCAGTGCCCCAGTGCCCCAATGGGCCCTGCTGGACTCCCCACACTCCCACACCCAGCCCCCATGTCCTCCCCGGTTCCAGCCCAGGTTTCCCAGAGCAGAGTCTCAGATGTCTGATTCCATAAAGCCATTTATTCCCAGTGCACTAACACAGGAACAGCCTGCGCTGGTGCCTCTGAGGAGGGACCCCAACAAAGGAATCCCTTGGTTTTATCCCCTCACAGTCTGCATTACCAAGGCTCAAGCCTGGCTCTTCCTCCAGGGCCCTCAGCTCCTGCTGGGTCTCTCGGTGTCCCTCCCCCAGCTGTGCCACCTCTCTTGGTGCCCTTTGTTGTGCTTTGTTGGCCATTCACATGCTCTTGTCTTGGGCTCCCACCTGGAGCTCAGCTTGCATCTGGCATTGCAGCTGGCCAGCCACCTGCACCAGGTGTGTTCACAGCCAGAAGGAGGGAGAGTGGGAGTGAGGTGGTTTCAGTTTTGTCTTTGTTACTCAGCTTGCCGCTCTGTTGGGAATTGCTGAGAAAGCAAAGCAATCCTCCCCAAGCTGAGTCTGGTTTGCCCATTATGGCAACTGGTGAGGGATGTCCCAGGCTGTGTGTGAGCTCTTCAGTCATATTTTTCCTCCTGTCCCATTGAGGAGGGGGAGTGAGAGAAGTTTGGTGGGCATCTGGCAGCCAGCCAAGGTCACTTGTCCTTTCTCCATAGATTTCTTCATAGCTGGTCAGGATAACCTCCAGGATTTGAATCTGAAGGAATGGAAAATGGTCCCTTTCCTCTGTGGAAAATTGTGGCTGGGGTTGAACACCAGGCTCTGCACTCTGCAAAAGCAGGTGGTCTTAATTTTGACCAAGGAAGATGATGTCTGTGAGAATTCTCAGAGCTCCAGGGCAAACAAGATGAGTTAGGGATCAGCTGAGAGTACAACAGAACATCTTATCAACTGCATTATCTTCTCTGGTCCTGCGCTCACCACAGAGATTTTGCCCCTCTTTTCCCTTGCATTGCAGAGTGAACCTAGAGAACAGGATACGGGAGACAAGAAAAAAGGATTGAATATCTTGGTAAGAGCTGTATTCTGTTCGGACAGTAATAGAAGGGAAAATAAGTAAATTAAAAAACCCTGAGTAGATCAGAGGTTTGAGTAGTATAAGGGATATATGTGTCCCAAAAAAGCTCTTAAATGCATTTTTAAAATCCTTAGGGAAATATCATAGTGAAGCTTCCTCTTTTTAATTTTTCGTTTTCTTCTCATATGAACCTAATGACCACCAAAAAAAAAAAAAAAAAGAAAAGAAAAAAAAGTTAATGGCAGCATGACCAAGGAGGCCAATTTGAGTCCATAAGTGTGGACTCATGGATCCCATTGCTCTTGTCTGTGGCCATTTTTGGGAGCCCTTGAGATGGGATGTGTTATCCCTGAGAGAAGTGAAGCCAGTGGAGGTCTCTCCCCTGGGCACGTTGCCTGCAGAACCCGTTCCAGAGCCCAGCAGAAGGCTTGGCTTTTGGGGTGGGATCAGTTTGGTCACAGGGGTCACTTTCTTTGATCAGAGGTACATCTTACTCTAGCAGAGGGTGTTGCTGAGCAGGGCTTTGATGGTCAGGCTGAAATGAATGTGCCAGGGGACACAGAAGGGATCTGTGAGGTCTCTCTCCACTCCCGGAGTGTGAGGCAGAAGAGTCTCACCCTCTCGTGGGTGGCTGTGCTGTGGTGGGACTGAGGCACCTGTGTGGTGCCTGAGTGCTGTGCCAGCTGAGGCAGCTCCCTGGCCCAGGAGAGCTTCAGTGGGCCCCGAGGGTCAGGAACCCCCAGCACTGCTGTGGGGCTCCTGGTCCACAGGAGTGGCTCCTGAGCCAGCTGTGGGATGTGTTCTGCCCCAGAACCTGTTCAGTGCAGTCCTGGAGTTCCTTGGGGAAAGGTTCTTGTTAAATGTCCTGTTTTTCATTTGGATTTTATTTTCATATGTACCCGATGTCCAGCCACGGCATTTGCTGTCTCTATGGCTCAGAAAGTTGCAGAAATGATATACGACGAATTCAGTAAGTGTGCTGGATCCCATTGCTCTTGTCTGTGGCCATTTTTGGGAGCCCTTGAGATGGGATGTGTTATCCCTGAGAGAAGTGAAGCCAGTGGAGGTCTCTCCCCTGGGCACGTTGCCTGCAGAACCCATTCCAGAGCCCAGCAGAAGGCCTGGCCTTTGGGGTGGGATCAGTTTGGTCACAGGGGTGACCTCCTTTGACCTGGGACACATCCTACCCTAGCAGAGGGCGTTCCTCGCAATTGGTAATAATTTCAAAGATATAGCACATCCCTTCTGGGATTTCCTTTCTTTGAGCACTAAAGGAGGAATCTCATCCTTGGTTTAGCTACAGGGTCCTTTCTGCAGGTGAGTGCCAGTACTTGCCCACACTACCTGGAAGCTAAACCCTGCCAAGCAGAGATCCAGAGGTCTGTCGTGCATGAGGGCCCTGTGCAGTCAGATCAAGAAATCCCACCTGTCCATAAATTCCCATTTCCAAAGACCCCCAGCCACTCCTTTGCTATGTTGCCCATCCCCATGAAGATGCCCGGGACCCTGGGATCCCAGGGTGCAGAGAGTCCCTGCAATGGGCTTTTCCCAGCACAGACCAGCACAGCCTGGCCCCTGCTGGACCCCACCCCCTGGATTCTGAGGGCAGCTGTTCTCCTGCCCCCAGCTCTTTCCAGCTGTGATGCTGTCAGGGGAATGCCATTCCCTCAAGGGACACTAGGAATTTAGCATGGCCTAGGCTCTCCCCCATGTCCAGGCCTTTGGGCAGTGAGGAGGCCATGGGGCTCCTCCCAGTATTCCTCACCAGCTGCACAGGAGCTCCAAGCTCATGTTTAGAAGTGGTGCCAAGACTCCTTTCAAAAGGCAAAAGCTGTTAGAGAAAAACATGTCAGGAAGAAAACTGGGGCTACAGTAGGGAGGCCAAGGCTTCTTCCCACAGCAAACTCCTGTAGGAAAAGGACTTGAAAGCCAGGACAGTGGTATGTGGTACCCAGAGGTGCATCAGCCTGTGAATTCCACATCTCTGTTTTTCAGGGATGAGTAAATTCTTTTCCAAGGCTGCCAAATTAGAAAGAAAGATCTAAATAAAAAGAGGCCTGAAAAAAATTGGTAAACAGACAGGACATGAGGGAACTAAGTCTGAGCTTTTTGTTTGCCCTCTGAATAAAGAAATAAAGCAAAAAAAAAATCCATTTCTGGATTGCACCTTGATCACAGTGTTTAATTCCTCTGAAGTAATTCTTTCTCCAGACAGAGGAATAAAAAACCGACCTGCAGCAAGATCTGAGACCCTCAAGAAGATACTTTAAAAGAGAGAATATGAGCATGTCAGAGAGGATGGGTGGTCTCCTACTCAAGGGAGAACGGCCAGTTTCCCAGTAACACCAATCTTTTTCTACAGGAAGGAGAAGGAGGGAGAAAACCAACAAGGTCCTGGAATCTGTGATAATCGAGGCCTTCCAGGACCTCAACAATAAAATAAAAGCTCTGCATGAAGATTTCAAAAAATTAGAGGAGTCCACAAAGCATGAGGTTCAAATACTCAGAGCAGAGCTGGAGAAGAACCCAGGTAAGCAGGGCCATTGCCAAGCAGACCTTCACCCATCTGAAGGCAGAAGCTGCTCTACAGGCCAACACCCTGTGAGCTCCTCCTGCTCAGCTCCTCAGAGGGGATGTGGAGGGACAGTCCTTCCATGGGGAACAGCTTCTGTGGTCCATGGCACTGGAACAGCTCCATGCTGAAGTGTTCTCTGCAGGTGGTCAGAGTCCCTGTTCTGTTCCTCACCTTTGCCTGGGGTGTGTGCTGGGAGTTCTCTCACTGCCTGATACTTGCTAAGGCTCCCCCCTTGAAGTCCTGTCCCTGTCTGTCTCCCTTTCCCACTGCCCTCCTCCTGCTGCCCCACTCCTGGTCCCATGCTGGGGCACATGTGAGCTCAGCCTTGTTTCCCTGTTGATGATCAGCAGGGAGAGGAGCTTCCCTGAGCAGAGCCTGGATGTGTCTGTGAGCACAGGGCCTGTGGAGAGCAGCTCTGCCTGCAGGAGCTGGTGCTGGTGCTGGGAAGGGGAAGGATCAGCTGGGGCTCAGACTCCTGTGTGGGCCAGGCTGGCCCCAGGCTGTGCCCCTGGGCCTGGCCCAGGCAGGACACAAAGTGTGTTGGGAACAGCCTCTGGCCACAGGGCAGGGACAGCTGAGATTGGTCTGACCTGATCTGAGTCCTGTTCTTGCTCCAGCTGCAGCCAGCAAAGGCAGAGCAAGGAGTAGCCCAGGAGAGTCCAGGGAAACCCCTGCAATTCCTGCTGGCTCAAGCTCTTGTGGGCTAGGAATTAAGTGTGTGGCCACTTTTCAAAGCTGGAGCTGTTTATGTATTGGGCTACAGAAAGGACAAAGGAGTTGTTGAAAAGAGATGAAAATTTGCTCTGGGTTTCTTGGGGCCTCCCTGCTAAAAGTGTGAGGGTAAAGGGAAAACCATTTCCAGATTGTGCCTTCATGGCCAAATGGAATTCCTGTGAGGTGAGGATTTCTAAGGGGGAATGAGGAAGGAAAAATCCACCCACAGGAGAGCCCTGAGCAGAGACCCTCTCTCGGGGATATTGTATCAGAGCCTTTGGGCAAGCTTGTGTTAGACAGCTGGTCTACTGCTCAAGGAGGAAACATCAGTGACACATTGATGTCATTCTTTCATCACAGAAAACAAAGAGGAGGAAATTGCAAGGGAGCTGGTATCAATGTTAAACAAGAAGCTCCGGCAGCTCTCCCAAAGAATTCAAACTCTGGAAGAAAAGATAAAGGAATGGCCAGAGACCACAAAGAATGAACTTCAGCTTTGCAGAGTTTACGTGGAAAAGAACCAAGGTAAGCAGGGCCTTTGCCGAGTAGACCTTCACCCATCTGAAGGCAGAAGCTGCTCTACGGGCCAACACCCTGTGAGCTCCTCCTGCTCAGCTCCTCAGAGGGGATGGGGAGGGACAGTCCTTCCATGGGGAACAGCTTCTGTGGTCCATGGCACTGGAACAGCTCCATGCTGAAGTGTTCTCTGCAGGTGGTCAGAGTCTCTGTTCTGTTGCTCACCTTTGCCTGGGGTGTGTGCTGGGAGTTCTCTCACTGCCTGATACTTGCTAAGGCTCCCCCCTTGAAGTCCTGTCCCTGTCTGTCTCCCTTTCCCACTGCCCTCCTCCTGCTGCCCCACTCCTGGTCCCATGCTGGGGCACATGTGAGCTCAGCCTTGTTTCCCTGTTGATGATCAGCAGGGAGAGGAGCTTCCCTGAGCAGAGCCTGGATGTGTCTGTGAGCACAGGGCCTGTGGAGAGCTCTGCCTGCAGGAGCTGGTGCTGGTGCTGGGAAGGGGAAGGATCAGCTGGGGCTCAGACTCCTGTGTGGGCCAGGCTGGCCCCAGGCTGTGCCCCTGGGCCTGGCCCAGGCAGGACACAAAGTGTGTTGGGAACAGCCTCTGGCCACAGGGCAGGGACAGCTGAGATTGGTCTGACCTGATCTGAGTCCTGTTCTTGCTCCAGCTGCAGCCAGCAAAGGCAGAGCGAAGAGTAGCCCAGGAGAGTCCAGGGAAACCCCTGCAATTCCTGCTGGCTCAAGCTCTTGTGGGCTAGGAATTAAGTGTGTGGCCACTTTTCAAAGCTGGAGCTGTTTATGTATTGGGCTACAGAAAGGACAAAGGAGTTGTTGAAAAGAGATGAAAATTTGCTCTGGGTTTCTTGGGGCCTCCCTGCTAAAAGTGTGAGGGTAAAGGGAAAACCATTTCCAGATTGTGCCTTCATGGCCAAATGGAATTCCTGTGAGGTGAGGATTTCTAAGGGGGAATGAGGAAGGAAAAATCCACCCACAGGAGAGCCCTGAGCAGAGACCCTCTCTCGGGGATATTGTATCAGAGCCTTTGGGCAAGCTTGTGTTAGACAGCTGGTCTACTGCTCAAGGAGGAAACATCAGTGACACATTGATGTCATTCTTTCATCACAGAAAACAAAGAGGAGGAAATTGCAAGGGAGCTGGTATCAATGTTAAACAAGAAGCTCCGGCAGCTCTCCCAAAGAATTCAAACTCTGGAAGAAAAGATAAAGGAATGGCCAGAGACCACAAAGAATGAACTTCAGCTTTGCAGAGTTTACGTGGAAAAGAACCAAGGTAAGCAGGGCCTTTGCCGAGTAGACCTTCACCCATCTGAAGGCAGAAGCTGCTCTACGGGCCAACACCCTGTGAGCTCCTCCTGCTCAGCTCCTCAGAGGGGATGGGGAGGGACAGTCCTTCCATGGGGAACAGCTTCTGTGGTCCATGGCACTGGAACAGCTCCATGCTGAAGTGTTCTCTGCAGGTGGTCAGAGTCTCTGTTCTGTTGCTCACCTTTGCCTGGGGTGTGTGCTGGGAGTTCTCTCACTGCCTGATACTTGCTAAGGCTCCCCCCTTGAAGTCCTGTCCCTGTCTGTCTCCCTTTCCCACTGCCCTCCTCCTGCTGCCCCACTCCTGGTCCCATGCTGGGGCACATGTGAGCTCAGCCTTGTTTCCCTGTTGATGATCAGCAGGGAGAGGAGCTTCCCTGAGCAGAGCCTGGATGTGTCTGTGAGCACAGGGCCTGTGGAGAGCTCTGCCTGCAGGAGCTGGTGCTGGTGCTGGGAAGGGGAAGGATCAGCTGGGGCTCAGACTCCTGTGTGGGCCAGGCTGGCCCCAGGCTGTGCCCCTGGGCCTGGCCCAGGCAGGACACAAAGTGTGTTGGGAACAGCCTCTGGCCACAGGGCAGGGACAGCTGAGATTGGTCTGACCTGATCTGAGTCCTGTTCTTGCTCCAGCTGCAGCCAGCAAAGGCAGAGCGAAGAGTAGCCCAGGAGAGTCCAGGGAAACCCCTGCAATTCCTGCTGGCTCAAGCTCTTGTGGGCTAGGAATTAAGTGTGTGGCCACTTTTCAAAGCTGGAGCTGTTTATGTATTGGGCTACAGAAAGGACAAAGGAGTTGTTGAAAAGAGATGAAAATTTGCTCTGGGTTTCTTGGGGCCTCCCTGCTAAAAGTGTGAGGGTAAAGGGAAAACCATTTCCAGATTGTGCCTTCATGGCCAAATGGAATTCCTGTGAGGTGAGGATTTCTAAGGGGGAATGAGGAAGGAAAAATCCACCCACAGGAGAGCCCTGAGCAGAGACCCTCTCTCGGGGATATTGTATCAGAGCCTTTGGGCAAGCTTGTGTTAGACAGCTGGTCTACTGCTCAAGGAGGAAACATCAGTGACACATTGATGTCATTCTTTCATCACAGAAAACAAAGAGGAGGAAATTGCAAGGGAGCTGGTATCAATGTTAAACAAGAAGCTCCGGCAGCTCTCCCAAAGAATTCAAACTCTGGAAGAAAAGATAAAGGAATGGCCAGAGACCACAAAGAATGAACTTCAGCTTTGCAGAGTTTACGTGGAAAAGAACCAAGGTAAGCAGGGCCTTTGCCGAGTAGACCTTCACCCATCTGAAGGCAGAAGCTGCTCTACGGGCCAACACCCTGTGAGCTCCTCCTGCTCAGCTCCTCAGAGGGGATGGGGAGGGACAGTCCTTCCATGGGGAACAGCTTCTGTGGTCCATGGCACTGGAACAGCTCCATGCTGAAGTGTTCTCTGCAGGTGGTCAGAGTCTCTGTTCTGTTGCTCACCTTTGCCTGGGGTGTGTGCTGGGAGTTCTCTCACTGCCTGATACTTGCTAAGGCTCCCCCCTTGAAGTCCTGTCCCTGTCTGTCTCCCTTTCCCACTGCCCTCCTCCTGCTGCCCCACTCCTGGTCCCATGCTGGGGCACATGTGAGCTCAGCCTTGTTTCCCTGTTGATGATCAGCAGGGAGAGGAGCTTCCCTGAGCAGAGCCTGGATGTGTCTGTGAGCACAGGGCCTGTGGAGAGCTCTGCCTGCAGGAGCTGGTGCTGGTGCTGGGAAGGGGAAGGATCAGCTGGGGCTCAGACTCCTGTGTGGGCCAGGCTGGCCCCAGGCTGTGCCCCTGGGCCTGGCCCAGGCAGGACACAAAGTGTGTTGGGAACAGCCTCTGGCCACAGGGCAGGGACAGCTGAGATTGGTCTGACCTGATCTGAGTCCTGTTCTTGCTCCAGCTGCAGCCAGCAAAGGCAGAGCGAAGAGTAGCCCAGGAGAGTCCAGGGAAACCCCTGCAATTCCGGCTGGCTCAAGCCCTTGTGAGCTTGGAATGAAGCGTGTGGCCCACTTTTCAAAGCTGGAGCTGTTTATGTATTGGGCTACAGAAAGGACAAAGGAGTTGTTGAAAAGAGATGAAAATTTGCTCTGGGTTTCTTGGGGCCTCCCTGCTAAAAGTGTGAGGGTAAAGGGAAAACCATTTCCAGATTGTGCCTTCATGGCCAAATGGAATTCCTGTGAGGTGAGGATTTCTAAGGGGGAATGAGGAAGGAAAAATCCACCCACAGGAGAGCCCTGAGCAGAGACCCTCTCTCGGGGATATTGTATCAGAGCCTTTGGGCAAGCTTGTGTTAGACAGCTGGTCTCCTGCTCAAGGAGGAAACATCAGTGACCCAGGGGCATTGTTCTTTCTTCACAGGAAAGAAGGAGGAGGAAAGTTCAAGGGCCCTGCAATGCAGAATGGAGACACTACTCCAGCAGCTTTCCCAAAGATTTCAAACTCTGGAACAAGCATTACAGTTGAGACAGGCGTTCCCATATCATGAGTTCCAACTTTTCAGAGCATACCTGGAGAACAACCAAGGTGGGTAGGGCTATTATTAAGAAAACTTTCATCTCTCTGAATGCAGAAGATGCTCTACAGGGCAACCACCCTGTGAGCTCCTACTGCTCAGCTCCTCTGGAGATAGGGAGGGACAGTGGGTAGAGGCCCAAAGAAGCTGACTGTTGTCATGAGATGCACCACCACAATCCATCCTATCATTAAAGTCAGCTTTTCTGAGCCTCTCAGCTGTTGTGATCTATGGTACTGAATCTTCTCTGTGCTGAAGTGTTCTCTGCAGGTGCTCAAAGCCTCTCTTGGCTCTCTTGTCTTTGAAGAGTGTGTGTAGGTATGGCTTGACATGACCTCACATGTGGTAAAAGTGTCCAAATCCACCTGCCCACTCACCTTTCTCATGACAGAGTGTTGTCTTCCACAGCCCACAGATGCTGTCTGGGGAGATGCAGAAAGGTGACCCCCCTTCAAAAGCCTGCCCCCCCCAGGCCTTTGCCAAACTCTGAGGAATACCCACAGCTCTACTGCAGTCCATCCATCTAAAGCAATTCAAAGAACCTGGTAAGGAATAAGCCCAGTCACCCATCCAGGCTCAGGGCTGACCTGAGTAGCTGGAAAGTAGCTGAGGAAAGTAGCTCTGGGAAGTAGCTGGAAAGTAGCTCTGCAGAGAAGGACCTGGGGGTTCTGGTAGACAAAGAGTTGTCCAAGAGGCAGCAATGTGTCTTTGTGGCCAAGAAGGCCAATGGCTGCCTGGGCTTAGGAAGAGCTTTGCCAACCTCTGAGGGAGGGGTAGCCCTAGAGGGGCATATCTGGAGCTGTGTCCCATGCTGGAGCTCTTGGGACGGGCCCAGCTGAGGAACTACAAAGATGATCAGAGGCCTGGAGCATCTCTCTGGTGAGGAGAGGCCAAGGGAGCTGGGCCTCTTTGGTCTGGAGAAGAAAAGGCTAAGAGGGGATCCCATCAATGGACAGAAGTGTTTGAAGGGTGGCTGTCAGGAGGATGGAGCTGGGCTGTTCTTGGTGGTGCTGAGGAATGGGATGAGAGGCAATGGACAGAAAGAGAAACAAAGGATTTCCAATCTTACCCATTTGGTGATTTGTGAGGGTAGGAGGAGCTTTTCAATCCTCTCTCCTCTCTCATGACCGCACTTGAGGGCACACCTGAAGCTGTGCCAGGGCAGGGTTACTCTGGATATCAGGAAAAGGTTCTTTCCCCAGAGGTTGCTGAGGGACTGAACAGGCTCTCCTTGGTCATGGCCCGAAGGCTGCCAGAGCTCCAGGAGCGTTTGGACAATGCTCCCAGGCACAGGATGGGATTATTGGGGTGTCCTGCGTGAGCCAGGAGCTGGAATCAGTGATCCCTGTGTGTCCCTTGCAGCTCAGTATATTCTATGATCCTGTGATTCTTTCCAGAGCCCATGTGCCCTTGAACCCTGGGAGGTGGACACTTCAGGGAGAGAAGGACCACAGGATTGTGAGAGCCCCAGAGGAAAGGCTTAAGGGAATCTTGGGCTCAGGCCTTGGGCAAGACCTTGTTCCCATCCACTGGCTCAGGGGTGCTCAGTCTGTCCTGATGTGGCTTCTGTTCTGTCAACCCCAGCTTGCCATGAACAGTGTCCCTTTCCTGGACAAAGCAGCTCAGGACCTGGATCATTCATATTCCACTGTGCTTTGAGGTTGGGTCCTCTTTGGCCCAGAGAAAGGACATCAGAGACTTCTTGGTCTTTTTGAAGTGCAAAGGCCCAAAGGCCCAGTGTCATTACTGAGACAAGGTGTCCCTTCAGGGCAGGCAAGATCACTGTCCCAGTGATGCTGGTCCTTCCTCTCAGGAAGGACAGTGGAGCCTGCCAAGTGTCCTCATGGGTAACTGGTGCACAAAAGTGGCCTTTGTTCCCTGGGAGTTCCTTCTCTGTGAAATCCCATCTCCTTTTTAGTCCATGGTCTGGCCATTCCCTGGCCTCTCTTTCCCATCTGAAAATGAAGGAGAGGCTGAGCTCATCTCTCAGCAGCTTTTAGTCCTCCTTGGACCTCAGAGAAGGTTGAGCCAGGAGCTCTATGTCTGGGAAACAAAATCATCACACACCCTGATTTACTGTTTCCTTTTGGAGACATGAGAGCAGAACTAGTTAAGAGAATAGAGTGGGGAGGAGCGGAGTGTGACGGTGGTCTCAGAGCAGATAATTGGTGAACTCTGTTTGGATCCCCTTCCAGTGTGTATTAGAGGACACGTCCTGAGAAGAATCAAAACCTGGAAATTACTGTGGACAATGAGCAGATTTCAAGGCACTCTGAAAATATTGCAATGGGGAAGTTTCAGTTGGCATCAGGAAATAGTCAAGGAGCAGCTGGGCTATGGTGGGGAAGGTGCATCCCTACAGCAGATGGGACCAGTGAAGAGCCCTGCAGCGACAGCCCCTCCCGTCGTGTGGCAAACCAGAGAGGTCTCCTGGAGGGAAATTCATCTCCTTTGTTCCCTATCCCTTCTCCCCTGCCACCAGCATGGCATCTTTGTCCTCAAGAATGCCCGCCTGGATTTCAGGTCTGGTTGGAGTTCTTGCTGGTGAACAACCAAGCATCCCAGTGCCTCAGGCTTTGTTCCCTTTGGAGGATTGTCCAGGACTCCTGGGTGTTTCCCCACTCTGAGAAGCAGCGTTTCACTCCAGGAGAACATCATCATTTTGGGCAGAGGCTTGGGCTGTGCTGAGAACACAGGGACCTAAGAAGCTTCAGAAAATCCATCTATTGCCTGCTTTTCCCTCTTTCTGAGAGAGATTTTAGAAATACAACTCTACAGCTCTTCCCTATGCTGTGAGGAAGCACTAGGAAGATGATGGAGTTGAGTCTTGAGTGCAGCTCTGGAAAGCACATTCCTCCCCCTCAGAGAGCTGCTTGGAGAAGAACATGCTCAGGAAAGGGTGACTTGGAGACGTTTTTCACTGTCATGTGCTGCCCAAGGCCCTGCCTGTGCTTGTCAGGAGTCCCCCACAGTTCTGGGCAGCCAGCCAGCACTGCCATTGCAGCCCCAGCTCCCACTCCTGCTTTGCCCTCTTGGGCCTCTCAGGAAAAGTGTCTGGAGCTTGTTGCTCCAGGTGACCCCAACAGCTGGTTCTTCTTTCAGTCTGAACTGAGCTAGAGGACCTCAGCTGATGCCATTGCACCTTGCTCAACTCCTGCCAGGGATGAACCCTTTCCTGATGAGTGTGGAAATCTGAGACAAGAAACCTTCCCTTATCCTTGTGGAAGTGTATCACTCTTCCACTCTGTGAGAAAGCATTATCCTAGACTGATGCTCTGCTGTTACTGAGGAGTAACTGCTTAAAGATTGAAAATCACCTTCTTCAGACTTTACTAAAGGAGTTGGTCCTGACAGCTGTTGTGGTTTAACCCCATCCAGCAGCCAAGCCCCACACTTGGGGCCACTCACTGACTTCTCCACCAGCAGGATCAGGGTGCAAACTGGAAAGGTAAAAGTGAGAACACTCATGGGTTGGGGTAAAGACAGTTTAGCAGGGAAAGCAAAAGTCAGGCACTCAAGCAAAGCAAAGTAAAACACCTATTCCCATGGGCTGGCAGGAGCTCAGCACCTCCAGGAGAGCAGGGCCCCCATCCCATGGAACTTGGGAAGACAAACACCATCACTCTAAATGTTCCCCACTTTCCATACTGAGCATGTTGTATTATGTATGTTGTCTTATGTCTATGTCCTAGCTGTGTCCCCTCCCAACACCTCATCTCCCTAGCATGCTCATATGAGAAGCAGAAAAGGCCTTGGCCCTGTGTGGCCAGTGCTCAGCAATAACAAAAACATCTCCATTATCATCCTTGTGTTCAGCACAATTCCCAAAGACAGCCCCACACCAGGCACTGGGAAGAAAATTAACCTAGTCCAAACCAGCACACAGGACTGATAGAGACTTGCTGATTTCTCGTAATATGTGGGTAAATCTGTAATTAGCTAACAAAATGTTTTTAAGACCTTTTTGCCTGTAGTGGTTTTGGTTCGCTAATTTAAGATTTCCCGGTCAATGCACCAATTATGATGGGTTCAGTGCTCACTAATCACCAGTGCACTCACTAGAATATACTTACTCATTTTCTGCTGTGAGAGAGGATTAGGAGACGGGCAAAGCAGGTTCAAAACTTTAAAAGGATATAAAGGAAAGTTTATTAACAGTAACTAAGAGTACTAAGAATCAGAACAAAGCTTTCAGAACACTTCTCCTCTCCCTACAACCTTTCCTTTCCTACTGGCAATGCAAAGAGACAAAACTTAAAATTTTCAGTCAGTTTACCACCTCTAGAATAGTCTTCTTTCAGTTCACTTAGGGGGAGAAGTCCCTCTTGTTAATCTTATGGAGACTTCTCCACAAGAAAAACAGCTCTCTTGTGGCTCTCAATTTCTATGAATAGCACCCACCCGGGGAAATCTGCAATTGTCAAGTCACTCCCATTTTCCACAAGCTTTCCCACAGCTGTTTTTATGGGCCATGTCAGCTTATGGGGTACTGTTTTAAAGATGAGCTCTTCAAAAGCAAAGGTTCTCTATCTTTAAAATCATCTTCATCTCTAGGAACAGAGATCTGCTTCTCTCCCTGGGGGCACAGGGTCTTCATCACTCTTCTCTCTCTCTGTTCAAATTCTCAGAGGATCACAACTACTTCAACATTTGCTTGCTTTAGCATGGGGAGGCTTTTGCCAAACAAGTTATCTCCCTATACTTGCTAATGTGTTACAGGGGAAAAAGTCTGAATGTATCAATTGCGTTAGTCTCCATAGCTTTACAAGAGGGTTTCAGCTGCAAGATCAAGGTATCTCCTCAGCCCTGCTATCTGGGGCTTGACTCTTTCTTCACTGGCCTTGATGTCTTTGTGTTGCTCCTCTACATAGCCTGCATTTTGTTCTTTTCTCTCACTCGAGGGAGAATTGAAGCACTGAAAGAGTTACTATCTCGTCCGGGACCTACAAATGGTCACCTGACCCTTGCCGAGCTCGGAGCTGCGGCTGGGCTGGGGCAGGGCCCGGGTCTCAGCAGCTGGGCCAGAGCTCAGCAGCAGCACAGCGGGGCCGATGGCTTCTCGTCCCCCTGCCCGAGGGTTGTGGGTCAATCTCAATGGCGGCAGAATCTTGCCCGAGCCAGCCCCGGGGGCCTGGGGCTGCTCCTGGGGCCTGGCGCACCCAGCTGGGCCCAGGCTGGTGGCGGGGCAGTGTTTAACAAGCAGCAAGATGTCAGAAATCGCAGCCGTGGCCCAGCCCGGCCTCTGCCCCGCAGCACTGCCCTCGCCCTGCCTGGCAGCCCATGGGGCCCGGTGGGCGCCCCAGGAAGGGGCTTGGCTCTGCAGCAGAGGCTGCCCGGCCTGGCCCTTGTCACCTCTGTGCCGACCGGAAAAGAAAGAGAGACTTCCTGGGATTTTCCGTCTTTTACGTGTTTTTTCATAGAAGCATGTACAGCTTTTAGTGATTTTATAGATTGTCAAACCTATTGCTAATGGATTCTTTTTGTCAGACATGGAGGAAACTGATACCAGCTTCTCTTAAATCATCACTTCTGTGCTGCAAAACTAGGATATTGTCCTATGGCATACCAAAAATAAAGAGAACAATGGTTAGAAAACCAGGAGCTATAGATTATGTCTAACCAGGAACTAATTACTGTTCAGGAAAAATATGAACATATGTTGAGTAATTACTTTTTTCAGAGATGGCACGCCAACAGAGTTGGCTGTAGTAGCAAAGAGGCAACCTTCAAAATTTGTAATGAACAACTGGAGCTTAAAATCTCTTTGATTACTCCCACAGAAGCCAAAACCCAAAACTTTTAATTATAGATAAAAATAAAAATTGTTTAACTGGCTTTAATAGAAAAAAGCATTATCTGTTACTCTGCTGAAATGCATTGCAATGTAATTAAACACTTAAAATGAAGAGGTGTTATGGTAGGATGCATTCTGCTTACAATTCTCTTGCTTGGCTATTGAAAAAAGCAGGCAGGAGGTGGCATTTAACAATTGATTATCAAATGTTTAATGCTAACATGGGACATTTCATCGCAGCTGTCCCAAATATTGCAAATCTCACTGCTACACTTTATGTGCAGGCATCTGCACATAAACTAATGGCAGCTTTGGATATAAAATATTGGGTACTCTGGGATACTAGCGAAATCATGTTCCTGGATTTTCTATAATAGCAAGACCCTTGTACACATTAATGATACCTATATCTCAGTTGGTCACAGGTCAAATGGGTGTCACTGAAGGACCAAGAAAACCTACAAAGTTACAGATAGCTGTGACTCCAGTCATGTTAGCTCTACAGCACCCATATAAGCCTAGTTCTGTACTGGGTGCTCCTGCATTCACTTCAGACTCTGAAGTCAAAGCTGTGTAGCTCACTGATGCCTCAGCCAAACACATTGATTGGAAATCAAAGTACAGAGAAGTTGCTTTCCATATTGAAACAGGAGTGGAAGTAGTAGAAGAAGAAATGGGAAATGCACAAGCAGGAGAGCTGAAAACTGTATTGCTGGCAGTAAAGGAGAAAACAAGATCAAGAATTGTTGAGAACTCCCGTTGGGAGGGGCTGAGGGACCCAGAGATACACCCAGCCCAAGTACAGAAGAATCAGAGTGCTTATTGTAAAGAAACAGGACATAGGAAAAAGAATTGTCCTAGGTTATGGATTCCAAATTCAGATTCTTGGGGCATCTGGATACCCTTATGACACAGACAAAGGGTTAATTCTCAGACTGCTGATGGCAGAAGTCGAATGATGGGGACTGGGAAAATCTGCCCTAGCAGATCCAATGGTTGCAATTAGGCTAGGGAATGAAGAAAAAAGAAACTAAATTTCTGGTCAAAACAGGTGCTTCACATTCAGTGTTAAATCAAGAACTAATACAAGTGGATAAAGATTTTATAAAAGTAATAGGAGCCACTGGCCTACAAAAGAAAGTGTACTTTTTGCAGCCAGTTAAGTATCAGATAACTAAACAAACTGGGATACATGCTGGAATCCCCAAAATCATTATTGGAATGAGACTTGTTAGAACTATAAGGAATTGGAATAACTTTTAGGCAAGGAAAAAATAAAATCTAAAATAAAGGAAGATCAATTAATCAGAAATACTAAGCTTGGCATTGATGCAACCTGAAGTGAGAAGTAAAATGCCTCAAGAAATCCTGGATCAAATATATCCCGGAGTGTGGACAGCAGGGACACCAGTCTGAGCTGAAATGCAACTCCAATAGAAATAAGATTGAAACCAAGAACCAACCCTGTTAGAATTGAACAATATCCATTGAAAGCAGAGGATCAAAAAGAGAGAAAAGAAATAATTAATACTTCTTTGAAATTTGGATTACTCATAGAGTGTGAATCAGAATATAATACTCTCATTCTTCCATTTATAAAACCTTATGGTAAGAGCTATAGATTAGTGCACAATGTAAAAGCAATAAACAAAATTGTGGAGGATTTTTATCCAGTGGTAGCAAACCCTACACTCTCTTAACCAAGTTTAAAAAGTAATCAGGTTTATGGAACTATATTTAAAAGATTCCTTTTCCCATTTGGCTTTAGCCAGGATAGTCAAAAGCTATTTGCTTTCGAATGGGAAAATCCAGATACAGAGTGAAAGACCCCATTAACCTGGACAGTGTTACCCCTAGATTTCAAGAACAGTCCTACCATAAGCCCAACAACTGGGACCTTACAAGAGAGCTGTTGCTGACTTCTCTAAGCCACTGGATGAGGTAAGCAAGGCTTGACCTGGGGGCTTGTGAGCCATCGCAGCCATTCTTCTTAACATTCAAGAGGCCTGAAAATTCACTATGGGCTGGAAAATGACACAGTCTCTGCGGTGTTAGAGCAGAAGGGGAGTCACTGGCTTTCCCCTCCTCCATTCCTGAAGTATCAAGCTGTACTGGTAGAACAAAATGCTGTTAATATTGTAACCCCTAATACTGTAATACAGCATCTTTTCTCAGTGGAGCTACTTTTGCACCTGTAGCCCGCGACTGTTTGGAAATCACGGAGACAGTTTACTCCAGCAGACCTGACCTGAAGGAGGAACCTCTGGAGGATGCTGAGGTCTCCTGGTCCACACACAGAAGCAGCATTATAAAGTCAGGGACTCCTAAGGCAGGATATGCAGTGACCACTGCCCCCAGGGTAATCAAGGCAAAACCTTTACTTGCAGGGATAGCCATGCAGCAAGAAGAGATAATTCACTTACGAGTCCTGGAATTGGCAAGAGGGGAGAGGACTAATATATGGACTGACTCCAGATGTGCATTTGGTATAGGCCCTGCTCAGGGTGCTGTCTGGAACAGATTGCGTGAAGCTCGAGGTAAGTAAATGAAACATGCTGAAGAAATTTTATGTCTGTTGGAAGCTGTAAATTTAGAGGAACAGGTGGCAGTCATGCACTGTAGAGGTCACCAAAGGGTAAGACTGAACAGGAATTAGGAAACAGATTGGCAGACCATGAGGCTAAATGGGTGGCAGAAGGGGCTCAGACTGAGCTCTGGCTTTGATACCAGGTGGTAAAGCCATGGGTACAGAAAGAGAATACCAGCACTCAGGTGGTATGAAGAGGGTACAAAGCTGGTGAAGGACTGAGAAGCAAACAAGCATGGAACTGTGCTCATTACACCTGACAATCTGGTTCTTATACCTTCAAATATCTTGTGGAAGGTAGTCCTAGAGGAACATAATAAAACTCATTGGGGAGCAAATGCACTGTAAGCAGATTTGACTAAATGTGTAACAGGCCATAATCTGTATACCATTACCAAACTGATCACTCAGCAGTGTGCAATTTGCCAGAAAAATAATACAAACACTACAAACAGCATAAAATTGGTACAACTGGAAAAAGGAAATATACCAGGGCAGCAGTGGCAAAGTGACTTTTCTGAACTCCCAAGAAAATGGGGGTACAGGTACCCATTGGTACTGATAGACACCTTCACTGGTTGGCAGGAAGCTTTTGCATGGAGAACAAATAAATCTATTCATAGAAGATACTGAAGTACTTTTAATAAAATTATACCTCAATTTGGGGTACCAGCTACAGTATCTTGTGATAGTGGTGCACATTTCTGTGCACAAATAGTTCAACAAGTCAGTAAGGCCCTGGGGATAGACTGCAATTACATAACTTATCATCCACAGGACAGTGGACAAGTAGAGAAAATGAACCATTTAATCAAATAGCAATTAGCAAAGATCTGTCAAGAAACAAATTTGCATTGGAAACAGGACTTCCAGTTGCTCTACTCAGAATTAGTGTCAAGCCATGGTCTAAGGAAGACCTAAGCCCATTTGAAATATTATATGAGAGGTCTTACCAAACTCAATATAGGGGAGAAGACATCAGTCAAATAGGAGAAGGGTACTTGAGATGGTACATAAAACTCTGGGAAAACAATTGAACAAAATTGATAAGAGGGTTTTTGAAACCAGGGCTAAAGGTTTGGATCAAGCAATTAATTGGTTTAAACCTGGAGACTGGGTATTTGTTAAGGCTTTTTCAGGTCAGTGTCTGGAGGAGAAGTGGAATGGATCACACCAGGTGCTTCTGACAACCTTCATGCCAATCAAGATCAAAGAACAGCCTGCCTGAACCCACTATTCAGGAGTATAGAAGGCAGCCAAAGGAGCATGGACATCAGAGCCAGTAGGACCAAGGATCTTCAAGTTCTGATGGTGACCTTTGGGGTTCTGATCAGTATCATAATTCTGGCTCGAATCTTTATCTTAGTCCCCTACTCACATCAGCTGTCACCGTGATATTTTCTGAAAAATCCCTTCACCAGGATTTCTTCTCCTGGGAAGCTGAGAGGCCTCGGAGAGGAATGAAAATGATAATTATCTGATTGCTTCTTCCTGTTTTGCTGCTTTGGAATGTGGTCTGGAGATTGTTTGTCCAACAGGTGGTTGGTTGATTGGTCTCATGTGAATTGTTTTTACTTAATGATCAATCACGGTCCAGTTGTGTCTGACTCTGAGGAGTAAGTCACGAGTTTTCATTATCATTCTTGTTAAGCCTTCTGTTTCTATCCTTTCTCTATAGTTTAGTATAGTTTTAGTATAGCATTCTTTAATATAATATCATATCACAATATAATAAATTAGCCTTCTAAGAAGATGGAGTCAGATTCAATCATTCCTCCTTCGTCCTGGGGACCCCGAAACTACCACAATCAGCTATTCCGGTATTGCTGGGGAAAATCTCTCAAATTTTAATTTGGCCACTGTGGTTATGACAGAAATGAAACACACTCAAAACATCATGGGAAGAAGAAAAATGGGACTAGTATTTTAATCAAATAATTGGGAAAGAAATACAGATAGGGTGTGGAGGAATCAATATGTCCACGCATGGAAAAGTGACTCGTGTAACTCAAATCACTGTAAGGGATTTTATGGAATATAATAAAGGGAAAATAATTGGTCAATCTGTTTGATCAATGCTGGCACAACTTTACCTTAGATAAACCAGTTTCCATTGTATGTCTTTGGACAGTACATTGCCATTGCTACAGTGGCATTGTGACATTGTGGGGTCCTGTGGAACCAAGGGGCCATGTGACATTGTGGGGCCTCATGGAACCATGGAGACCACTCCAAACTTCTGGGGACTTGTATAACCAAGGGTCCATGGGTTTCCTCTCCCTGGCACTGCCCTGTTCAGCCTCTCCCTGCCCCAGCCCAGCAGAGCAGCCCAGCCCCGTCTGGCCCTGCAGCAGGAACTGCAGGCACTGGAGGTCAGGGACAGCCACTCTGGGTCTGGAATGCTCAGCAGATGCTCAGCTCGGGCAGCTCCTGCAGCACCAGGGCCAGCCCCGCTGCCCGGCCCAGCAGCAGAGTTGGCCCCGGGGCTCCTCAGGCAGCTCCTGCTGGCCCAGGGACAGGGCAGCCTCTTGCCAGGGCTCCTCTGCACACCCACGGGCTCCTGCTCTGCTCCTGGCCCATGCCAGCTGCCCCCAGAGCCTTTCCCAGGGGAACACGTCTGTGCTGGCCCCAGCAGCCATTGCTGCAGCCCCTGCCCTGCTGCCCAGAGCCCCAAGCTGGGGCTGCTGCTCTGCAGAGCAAGGGGGCTGTGCTACCCGGGGCCCTGGGCTGCCTCTGCTGGGCTCTGCTGCTCAGCCTGGCACACAGAGGCAGCTGATGGTGCTCTCTGCACTGACTCCCTCCCACACAGGCTCTGCAGGGCCATGGAGGGGGCTCAGAGGTGCCTGCCTTGTGCCAGGGCTGCCAGAGGGGCTTGGGGCTGCCCTGGATCCTCCTGGGGGAGTTCCCTGAGGGTCAGAGCAGTCAATGCCCAGACTCCTTTCCCTGTGCCTGCTGTGTCCCTGGGCTGCAGAGCTCTCCTGGCTCACAGCAGACATTCAGTCCTTGATCTCGGGGGCACCCCAGCCTGGCCAGGCCTGTGCCCAGTGAGCTCCACTCCCTGCTGCTCCCTGGCACACGCTGTCCCTGCAGGTCCCCTGTGTTCTCCTGGCAGCTCCCAAGGCCCTCCAGACAAACCTTCCCCTGCCATCAGCCCTGGCACAAGCTGCAGAGCCCCAGGAAGGTTCAGCTCAGACCATTCAGCATCTGATGGGCACTGGCCACACAGCAGGGCTGGGAAGGGGAGTGTGGAGCTGGGAGGAGCAGATGTGGAAAGAGGCAGGGCCACTGTCCCTGGCCGTGCTGCTGTGCTGGGAGCCCCTTCCCTCCACCTCTGCTCACAGGCACTGCTCCTGCAGAGCCAGAGAAGGGCTGAGGAAATGCCTTGGACACATAAGCCAGGGAAATCACTTGATTTTATTGAAAGCACTAGGAACAAGCCTACTAAAAGTCTTTGTGTTACAAAAGAAAAGTAGATGGTCATGTAGAGATGCTCGGAGTAGTACTACAGTATTTTATAAAAAACACTATAACAATAGAAAAATATAAAGAAAAGGTCCCAATGAAGAAATGGACAAATAGGGGAAAAAAAAAGGCCAGGATTGTAAAGAGTTACATTCTGGAGGGTCTGAGCAGAAAAAAAAAAAGAGGGTTTATTGCTTCTGAAAATATAGGGTCATAATTTTCCTCAGGGCATCCTTGAGCTCCTGGTTCCTCAGGCTGTAGATGAGGGGGTTCAGGGCTGGAGGCACTACCGAGTACAGAACTGACACTGACAGATCCAGGGATGGGGAGAACATGGAGGGAGGCTTTAGATGAGAAAAGATAACAGTGCTGACAAACAGGGAAACCACAGTCAGGTGAGGGAGGCAGGTGGAAAAGGCTTTGTGCCATCCCTGCTCAGAGGGGATCCTCAGCACCACCCTGAAGATCTGCACATAGGAGAAAACAATGAACACAAAACAGCCAAATACCAAACAGACACTAACACCAAGAAGCCCCATTTCCCTGAGGTAGAAGTCTATGCAGGAGAGCTTGAGGATTGTGGGAATATCACAGAAGAACTGGCCCAGGGCATTGCCATGGCACAGGGGCAGGGAAAATGTATTGGTGGTGTGCAGCAGTGAATAGAGAAAGCCACAGGTCCAGACAGCTGCTGCCATGTGGGCACAAGCTCTGCTGCCCAGGAGGGTCCCATAGTGCAGGGGTTTGCAGATGGACACATAGCAGTCGTAGCACATAATGGTCAGGAGGGAAAACTCTGCTGAGATGAAGAACAAAAAGAAAAAGAGCTGTGCAGCACATCTTGTGTAGGAGATGGTGGTGTCCCAGAGGGAATTGTGCATGGCTTTGGGGACAGTGGTGCAGATGGAGCCCAGGTCGCTGAGGGCCAGGTTGAGCAGGAAGAAGAACATGGGCGTGTGCAGGTGCTGGCCCCAGCACAGACTGGGGGCACTTTCCCCCCATTGCCTGCCCAAGGCTCTGCTGCCTGGAGCTGTCCCTGCCAGCAGCTGCTTCCCCGTGCCCAGGGCTGGGCCCTGCCAGTGCTGCCAGAGCCCAGCCCAGCCCTGGGGGCTCAGCTCTGCCCTGCAGACCCCTACCAGCCCTGGCACTGCCCAGGGGCAGCTCTGGCTCTGCAGGCTCTGAAAGCAATGCCAGAGCCTGCAGAGGAGGAGGCTGGAAAAGGGACACTGATGCTTCCTGGAAGGGGCTCTGTGCTGATTTGTGTCACTGCCTGGTTTATTCAGATGAAGGAGATTTTTAAAATTTATCTCCACCTGAACCAAGAGATGAATACCTATGTGAAATTTCCCATCCTGGCAACCCAGAGCAGTATATTAAAAAATACAGGATTTTCCATTTTATGCAACCCCTGCCTTGCTGTGCTCCCTGTATAATCTACTTAGAAATGTTCTGCAGTTAAATATCATGCTGGAAGCAGCCCTGAAAAATGCAGCATCCTCAGCACACAGGGGGAACACTCCCAACCCTTACCAGCTGTCTCCTTTCCCCCAGATCTTGTCCCCCAGCACTGGGAGCAGCTCCCCGGGCCAGCTGAGAGCTGTCCCTGGCAGGCAGCAGAGTCCCTGCCCCAGCACAGCACCCTGGGCTGCAGCAGTCTGCTCTGCAGGACAGCCCTGGGCACCCCTGGCTGCTCTGCACAAGAGACAATCAGAGAATGTACTCACAGGGTCTGTAGGCATTGGGATGTTCCAGCTTTAGGAGATGGCTCCAGGAGCTGCAGCTGCATTGTCCTGCAGCCAGAGGTTCCTGTGCCAAGGGCTGGCAGTGATTCTGCCCCAGGCACTTCTCAGCACCTTCCCAGCCCTGACTGATTGAAGCTCTCTGTGCCTCTGGGCTGTGCCCGGGCTGGCTGATCCAGAAACACTCCTAAGGAGGTCTGGCCTGTTTCAGAGAAGCTGTGCCTTGAGCTCTGACCCAGTGTCAACAACCTTGATCCACATCCCCCATCCCCATCCTGTCTCTCCTCACTCACTTGGGATCTGCTGTGCTTGGAGATCTGACTGCACACAGCAAAAGAGGGGTTTTGTCTTTTTAATTCTTTGAAGCAATCTAAAACTCTTGAGTTTCTCTGTTGAAAACAGGCCATTCTCAAGGCTGTGCCAAGCCCAAGGTGCCACCAAGGGCACTCCAGGCCTTCCCTGGGCCAGCTGTGAGGGTGGATCATCATCCCAATCTGCACTGGGCCATTGCAAAAAGCGAAATCCTGCTTAGTTTGATGTTGATTTCTAGGAGTGGGACAAGGACGAGGAATACAAGGAGGAGGATGAGGAAAAAGAGGAGGACAAGTAGGAGGACGAGGAGAAGGAAGGTGGACGAGGAGGACGAGGAGGGGGATGAGGACAAGGACCAGGAGGAGGACAAGGAGGAAGATGAGGAAGAGGAGGATGAGCAGGAGGACAAGGAGGATGAGGAGGAGGAGACTGATGAAGAGGAGGAGGAGCAGTACGAGGAGGAGGAAGAGGAGGATGAGGACGAAGATGAAGCTGAGGAGGAAGACGAGGAGGAGGACAAGGTGGAGGATGAGGATGATGATGAGGAGGGGGAGGGGCACAATGATGAGTAGAATGATGATGACTAGGATGAGGAGGAGGAGGATGAGGAAAAGGAGGATGAGCAGAATGACAAAGCTGAGGAGGAGGATGAGGAGGAGGAGCAGGACAAGAAAGAGGAGGATGAGGAGGATGAGGAGGATGAGGTGGAGAAGAAGTAAAAGGAGGATGAGGAGGAAGCGGACAAGAAGTAAAAGGAGGGACGAGAAGGAGGATGAGGATGAAGAGTGGGAGGAGGGGGAGGAGGTGGAAAACAAGGATGAGGAGGAGGTGGACGAGGAGGAAGAAAATGAGGAGGAGGAAGAGGAAAAATGATGGGCAGGAGAAGAACAAGGACGAGGATGAAGTGGAGCATGAGGATGAGAAGGAGGATGAGAAGGAGCACGAGGACGAGGAGGAGGAGGACGAGGACAAAGAGGAGGACAACGAGAAGGATGAGGTGGAGTATGAGGAGGAGGAGGAAGAGGAGGACGAGGACGAAAAGGAGGAAGAGCAGGAGCACGAGGACAAGGAGGAAGAGGACGACAAGGGTGGAGGAGGAGGATGAAGAGGCGGAGAAGGAGGAGTCGGAGGGGGACAAGGACGAGGACGAGGACGAGGACAAGGAGGTTGAGGACGAGGACGAAGAGGATGAGGACAAGGACGAAGAGGATGAGGAGCACGAGGACGAGGATGAGGAGGATGAGGAGCAGGAGGAAGAGGGGGGAGGAGAAACAGGAGGAGGAGGACGAGGACGAGGACAAGGAAGAGGATGAGGAGGATGTGGAGGACGCAGAGGACGAGGAAGAGGAAGAGGAGTATGAGGAGGATGAGGAGGACAAGGAGGAGGAGCACAAGGAGGTAGAGGATGAGGACACGGACAACGAGGAGGAAAAGGAGGAAGATGAGGACGAGGAGGAAAAGGAGGACAAGGAGGACGAAAAGGAGGAGGATGAGGACAAGGAGGAGGAGGAGGAGGATGAGGAGGAG